ATCGTCGATCATTCCTCTCCCGTTGGACTGGCCATCTTGCTATGAATTGCCGACCATTTTCTATGCCGCCATTCTCATCCAAGCTACCTTTCACGCAGTCCGACCCAGGGAACTAGGATTTAAAACTTACCCGGACTAAAATTATAGAAAATATGGAATAAAAAATTATGATGAAAAATATTATTTTTTAAGTGCTTTTGTATTATTATTTTTTTTTTCGAAATGCATTTTTGAACTAAAAATCTATTGGGGACTAATTTAATTTGTTGACTTGATCATGACAACACAAAAATTAAAATAAAAAAAAAGAGTTATTTAAGTTGTTGAACAATTATTTAACTTTGCCAAGATAAAACTCCTCAAATTTCAATGACACTTGATCATGACAACACAAAAATTAAAAAAAGAGGGAAAAAAACATTTGATCATGACACTTGATCATGACAACACAAAAATTATTGGGAAAAATGTCAATGACCCTTGATCATGACAACACAAAAATTAAAAAAAAAAAAAAAAAAGGAAAATAACATCATTGGGGACTAATTTAATTTGTTGAACAATTATTTCTCAAATTTCAAGGAGCTATTTAACTTTGCCAAGATAAAACTCCTCAAAAATGAAATCTATGAGTTATTTATTTAAATTTAAAATTGTTAGATAATTTTATTTGTGAATATACCATATAATTTAATTAATTGAACTAATATTATAAGATTTTTCAATTTCAATTTAATTATATATATATATGTATATATATATACTTGCTCCCTAAAAATTCTTCCCAGGCTAATGCCCGGGGAGATTTGTACATGGTTCTGCCCCTGGTCCGACCATTACCCTCTCGGCGGCGCTTTGACCTCCGTCCCCGGCGCCTAGACCTCCGCCGCTTACTGCAACTCGAACTACGCCCTTGAAGATGTGAGGAATGATTGTACGGGCCCGTGATTGGGCATTTTTTTACGCCCCTGGGCAATTTGAAACTCTGAACTTAGGCCGTGCTTTTAGGGATTTGCAATTTTTATAATTTAATTATATTTCAATTTAATTTACGAGTCAAATCTGTAATTATTGAAAATTAATAAAAAATTATCTTTTCTATATTTTTTATGCATATATATATATATTATAACAAAATAAATTATAAATGAAAAGAATATAAATGTAATTTTTTAATAACAAATGAATTATATAATAAGAACAATAATAAAAAGACATTTCAATTATTTAGGTTAATTCAATGTACAATTACATCTATTAAAACTTATTTCCTTTTGCACATAATTTATCTGGCAATGTATAAATCGATGCACTATATATAGCGAAATGTTGTACTCTATAAAACAACATGTCGCACTTTATAAAAAATCATGTTGCACTTTATCAAACACACTCCACAGTTAATGTCAGTAACCCACTAAAAATAATACCCAATATAAATATAAAAAAGGATATATATTTAATAGTGTATTTTTATGCACTTAATTTATTTGCACGTTTATATGTTTTGATTTATTATTATTTGGATGGATTTATTTGCTTTGATGTTTTATGTGTTATTTTCAGTAGTTTGACGAAATTTGTGGACACGAAGCTTTGGACGGTAGTTCGCGTGATCAATTATCGGCTGTTTGTAGTATTTTTGGGCAATTGGTAACCGAGTTACCCGGACTCGGGTCGTTCTCAAAGGAAGGCTCTTCGGAGCTTCGTTCACTATCTAGTCGTCAAAGTCACACAACCGAAAGGTCCTAAACATTCTACTCGCAATTTGAGGGTTTGAATTTGATGTAGGCGAAAGCGTGAACGACCGGGAAGATACTCTCCCAAAAGAAAACACGATCAATTATTTTTATTCATCAAAATCTGCTCTTCACCAAAACAGAAGAGCCCTTTAAATAAAGGCTTCAAACTCAACTCTAGCTTAATATCCAAG